TTTAGGGTTTAGGGTTTACGGTTTAGGGTTTAGGGTTTAGGGGTGCTTTGAGGATCCGTGAGTTGCGTTTTCCTGAGCGTTCATGCCTATAAACATATGTCTTCCCGGCTGCGCATTTGCAAGAATATAAAACTTCATGTAATTTTTATGCATCTACACTTACCTTTACTGTCTTGCTTCTTGCTAAGTTCTATTCTGTGCTTCCATTATCGACCAAACTTAGCTAGCATCCAGAGTAGGCCCTTATTCCTTTTTTTGGGTTTCGGTTCCCTTGTAAGGCCCTTTAAACCAAAAAGGACACCCGTTTTATTCCTACGTTTCTCGTGGGTCTAGTTTCCTTCATCGGATACAAGAAAGTCTTTTTTTGGAGAGTGCTCAGGGCAGCCCAGGACATCGCGCTCCCACTACGATGCTAAACCCTCCAACCCTGTCTTTCAGCCCTCCTAAGACCTCCTATAGGCCCTGAAGCTTCAAGCGGCTAAACCTCTCTGAACTCTCTAAGCTCTCATCCCCTGCCCCGAAAAATGCCGAACCACACAGGGAGTCGTGCCGACAGATCTCTTTCGGCTGAGATGCTTTTGGTTGCCTAAGTTGCAAACCCTACGCCCCGAAAGGTGCTGCGGACGCCCTGCCAGCACCTCTTCCACGAGGACCGGCTTAGTGCTTAGGGTCCCTCTCGACGCCTCAACGCTTTCGGAGTTTCGGGATGTCCACTCTCGTGCGACCTGCAGGGATGGGGAGGGGGGGGGGAGCGGAAGCAGGGTGCTTCTGCTACAGCTTTCAGGGTTTAAGGCTCTCATTCTTGTGGGGGGGGGGGGGGGTGGGGTTCAGGGGTCACCGGGGCCCGTGAAGCGATCTAATTGGCTCGTAACCAAAAGTGCGGGTAACCCGGGGGGGGGGGGGGTAGCATATATAATATATATATATATATATGCATGCTCTTTACTATACGAGGCTCCCACCCTACCACCTTCAGTCCTTTTGGCCTTCCATATTTTTGATCGCCCTAAACCCTAAAGCCCAAATTGCCCTAAACCCTAAACTCTAAACCCTCAACCCTAAACATGTAGTGAGAAGGACTGCCTCTCCGAATGGGGCCGCAACCACGTCCTCTGCCCCATTTGCAAGCGTGACCTTTGCGAGACCTGAGGCCCGGGACCACCCAAAGAGCCATACCCCTTAATTAAGGAATCTGCCTTAATTTATAAAAGGAAATATAAAAGGACCCTTAATGCGATTTAAGATATATTCCTTAATTAAGGGGTACTGGGCTCCTTGGGCAGAGAGTTAGGGCTTTGGGGCTTCCAGGATTTGGGCTTACAGGGTATAGGGTTGAGGGTTTGGGGTTTGGGGTTTAGGGCATTCAGGGTTTGGGGTCTGCGGTTTTGGGGGGTCTGTGGCCCGACCCACCCAGTATTGAAGGCCTCCCCAAACCCCACACCCTAACCCCAAAGTACCGGGGGGGGGGGGGGGGGGGGAGGGGGGGAATTAAGGTTGCTTAGAACAAGCCCAAAAAAACCAATCCCCTCAAAATGCCCATTGTAATGAAAAGAGGGCCCTAGTCCCTGATCCCTGAAATGTAAAACCCTTCACTGGAATGATGCGCTTAGGGGTTCTTAGTAGGGAAAATGGGGAACTCGGTGCCCTAAAAAAGCTATTTCGCGACTAAGAGCTGCTGAGAATAATCGGCTTGGGGTGACAGGTTCCCTGCCATGACCGGCCAACGGAACAAAACTTCTGGAAGGGTAGGAAGCTGTGCATGGTATTCCGTCAGTTGAGTTGCATGTAGATTCCCTTCTCTCTCGCTCTCTCTCTCTCTCTCTCTCTCTCTCTCTGTCTCGCGGGGGTGTATGGTTCAGAGTTTAGGATCTACGCTTTAGGGTTCAGTTTGTTTCGATTCAGACTTCTGGCAACAACAATGGATTTGCGCCGCGCCACGCAATGTCGCGCAGCTTGCCCTGCCTTTCAAAGAAGCCCCACATGCTTCACATGTTGCATTCCAACCTTTGCAAGCTCACCTGTCCCCTAAACCCTTAAACTTGGGATGTTCCCCCTTTTACTAGCAGTCCTGAACAGGGATTCTAGTACCCTCTAGTATAATTCTTATGAAGGACTGTTAGTATGAGGGGGAACATTCGGACCCCTAAACCCTATACCCTAAACCCTAAACCCTAAATCCTAAAAACCTTAACCCTATAAACCCTAAACCCTAAATCTAGTGTTCCGTCTATTCCTGAACCCTGAGTCCAGAAAGGCAAAGAAGCCGGTCACTCTTTGCCCCCGTGTAGGGTTTAGGGTTTAGGGTTTAGGGTTTAGGGTTTAGGGTTTAAGGGTTAAGGGTTTAGGGTTTAGGGTTTAGGGTTTAGGGTTTAGGGTTTAGGGTTTAGGGTTTAGGGTTTAGGGTTTAGGGTTTAGGGTTTAGGGTTTAGGGTTTAGGGTTTAGGGTTTAGGGTTTAGGGTTTAGGGCGTCTCGCCGCGCAGCGGCAGGAAGTACCATGTGTAAATGGCGCCCCTACACACCCAGGGAGGTGTGGGGGGGCGGCATGTCACGCGAAGGCATCTGTTTTCAATGTAATCCAACAATTTCATTGGTGCTGGGTTCTTCTTCTTTCTCCCCACCCGCTGTGAGCTTTCACAGGCCACCGCCCAAACCATTGCCTTTTAGGGTTTAGGGCTGTCGCCCTCAATTCCCACCATTGCTTTCCCACAGCTGGTGAAGGCGCGGGGTGAGGGAGAACAGAAGTCAGGGGGGGGGGGGGGTGGGCGGGGCGGGGGGGGCCGGGCCATGGCGGGTCAGGGGCGGGCGAGGGAGGGCGGGGGGCCAGGGGGGGCCATGGCGGGAGGGGGGCCAGAGGCGGGAGAGGCCACGAAGAAGCACTTTTTTGGGTCTGGGGGACCTGCAAGGAAAACACCACCGAAGGATTCCAGCCCAGGCTTTCGGGTATTCTCATCAAGAGGAGGATCAGGGGGTTCCCTTTGTAAGTATAAGGCACCACTTTCGTGGTCCTAAAGCAAGGCTCAGCCCAAGGGGCTGAATTCGACCACTCTCCAATGGCTCCACCCATTGTCCATCCAGTGAACCAGTCCAGGCACCCTAGAAAAGGGTGGGTACGGCCTAAGCAGGCCGGGTGAGAATTTAGGGTTTATAGGGTTTAGGGCTTAGGGCTTAGGGCTTAGGGCTTCGGGCTTAGGGCTTAGGGCTTCGGGCTTAGGGCTTAGGGCTTAGGGCTTAGGGCTTAGGGTTTGCTGTGATAGGGCGTAGGTGCTGTGAAGGTTAGGTTTCGGAACAAGCTCGAAAGCTTCGTGAGGTGCGAAGAGCAGCTTTGGCCCGATTGTGGAGGGCCATCTAACACATTTCTGCCACCCCATGCCGTCCGAGGCGGCAGAGCCACCCAAACCTATTTAGGGTTCAGGCCTAAACTCAAGGCAACAGTCCACTTCAAAACTTTAGTTGGGTCCGACACCAAGGGGGTCCAGGGGGCAGGGGGGGCCACGGGGCCAGAGGGACTGGCCAGGGGCAGGGAGCTAGGCACGCTGCGGCGAGGGGTCCGGGACCCCTGGGCTGGGCCCTGGAAGGCCCGAGGAGGGTAAGACTTTTGTTTTGAAAAAAGGACCAGTTGGTGCGAGGAGAACTTGTTCCGGTACCGGGACCCCCATGCTGTGGGAGGCGGGCGAGCGACCTGGGTCGGCTTGCGCCATCGAGGTCGAAGGGCTTCAGCGCCGCCCCCCAACGTAGGGGGGTGGCCTCGGGCCTGAGTTTAGGGTTTAGTGTTTAGGGTTTAGGGGTTAGTGTTTAGGGTTTAGGGTTTAGGGTTTAGGGTTTAGGGTTTAGGGTTTAGGGTTTAGGGTGAACTCTATGCAATTCGCCTGCGCGCAGGCTCCTACGTGCTTCGCGCAGACGCGAGAGTGAGAGACCTTGGGCACCAAGTGCACCCCAGAAGCGGGGTCATGTACCCTACACTGCTATAATCCTTGTCAAGGTTTCTGCACCATAAACCCTTCACTGGTTCATTTAGTCCCCAAGGGATGCGCTGGGTGCTGTAGTTTGCCATCATAGCTTCGTTGACGACAGAGCGCTCAAGCTGATAGAAGCCACCTAAACCCTAGAAGCCCCGGTATTTTCACTGTTTCATTTTTTTCTGTTAGTGGTTTTTTTCAGGATGCAACGGCTCCAATGGCTTCACTGATATAGGGTTTAGGTAAAGGGCCAAAGGGGTTTAGAGTCTGGAGTTAGGGTTTAGGGTTTGGATGCCACTGAGTATAGTATGGGTAGTTCTCTAAATTAGGGTCCCCTTTTTGGGATCCCTTTTTAAGGGTGCCGCCTTATAATGGGTACCCAGAAAGGGACCCCAGTTTAGGAAACTACTCATATGTTGACCTTGCATTTGCAGGTGGCCGGTATGTCTTCTGTCATGTTAGCAAATAATTGCTCGAGTTTAATCCCTAAACCCTAAAGATGTTGGCTGCTGCAAGTGGCAGCTGACGCGGGAGCGCTCTGAATGGCGCGCGCCGAGGAAGAAAATCTTCTCGGAAGTCTCACGCGCATACCGACCAAAGAAGGAAGCAAACGCACGGCGACCCCTTGCCGATATGCTGGCTCTGTTCTTGTGCCCAGCTCTTCCCTACCTACACAGGGTACACCTTCAGCCTTAAACCAAGGGCCCTTCTTGCTTTCAAGTACACGGAGCAAGCACCCCACATTGATGAACCAGGAAGTCACAGTCTGTACCAATAATCTGTCCCGTATCATGCTGGGAGCTGTTGCCGACCGTGGCCAAGATGATTATGTATCATACTTGTAGCCAACGAACATGATCTTGGAAGCCTTGCACGTGCACAGACGGACGCATGATGCCTACAGCAGGCATCCAGCCATGCCTTCCGAAGTTTGGGATGTTTAGGTAAAAGAAACCAACAAGCCCACACATGCACTACAGCAGCAAAGGCATGTGAGCGGTTCGGCTCGAGGCTTTGGTCGTTGGTGAGACTCAGTGGTGGGTATGCTATGTCCTGCTTCCCAGTGCAAACCCGAACCGGCAAACGCAGTGCCTCCTTGTAATGGGGCTGCGCTCGTAGCAGCAGGTGCTGTGCAGAGGACTGCTCAACCACGGGCCCATCACGCTGCACATATCTTTCTGCGTGTTTCGCGGCTTGCATGCATTGCACCAGCAGTCAGGGTGCGAGGATGCAGGGTATGGAAAGGCTTGACGCGCTATCGCACGCAGCTCCAGCTGACGTCACGCATCGATTTCTTAGTGGATGCAGACACACACAGCATCTTGGATATCAAAAGCGCCATCAGCATACTGCAGCAAGAAGGAGGGGCTGTGGAGACCAAAGTGTTCGCTGAACCGGCCAGAGACGAGAACAAGATGTGGCGGCAGTTCTTTCGAGAGTCGGACATCTCCTTTCGACCTGTGCCTCGAGGGAAAGGCACGAGAGGGGAGGCCAACGATAGCGCCATCGTCCGAGAGGTTAAGAGACTCTCTAAAAAGACACCTCGCCGATGCATCGCGCTCATGACGCAAGACACTGGCTTCTCTGAGACCATCCGAGGAGCTTTGGCTCAGGGAAACGAGGTCCTGGTAGTGACTCCAATAGCCGCCACGACACAGATCCGCGAGATGGAGTCTGCAGGCGCGCGTGTTGTGACCACACAGCTTGCAGCAGACACCAGTCCCAAGGTTAGGGCAGTGCTGCACGAGGACGGCAGCGGAACAACGCATTTTGCGGAACCCTTTGTGTACTCCTCGTACGACAACCCTGAAGTTGTGTTTACAGCCATGCACTTCATGCAGGACTTGGGCTATCGAGAGGACAAGGGGTACTTGGTACAGTCGATTGCCAAGTTTTGGTTTACAAACGGACTGGGACCCCTGACCGTCTTTCCAGGCCAATGTGCGAACAAGGCAGTTTGTGACGTGGCCAGCAAGCATGGCACCCCTGCTTGGACAAGATACACGAAGCCCTTAGCTTTCTTCCTTCCTGTCAGCTCAAGAGGCAAGTCCTCAAAGGGGGCGCGCAAGAAATTTGGCAGCACACATGCGCGAGCTGTCTTCAAAGGAGATGGGCCGTTCATCCTTAGGGACTCCTCAAACCTTGTCGCGGAAGCGCTTGAAAGTTTGGGATACATGGACAGGCAGTGGAACACTGACTTGTCAGAAGCAATGCTCACGTTCCTCAATGTAACTGACAACAAGAAGATTCTCCGCAAGCAGTTCGAAGCGCTACCATCACCTCAAGACACGATGCCAGAAGTCAGGGCGAGGCTGAGATCGGCGTTCTTGTCGAATGGTTCGGATGGTGAGTGGCGAATTGCACCTAAAGACACAGCAGTGCGAAAGTTCCTGCACAGCAAAGGCTTGTTGGGCTCGGAAGGAGCCTCCAGGCGGATTGTTTTCAGGGCAATGAAGAAGTATGCCAAGAAACGCAATTTCTCAACTATGCAGAACTACAACACGTACGTTTCCCGAATACTGGGCAGGCCGTCCGACCCCAACGCGTTGGGAAGTGTCGAGTTCAGCCTCTAGACGTTTGGCCTATCCAGACACCCCCAGCTTTTGCCGCAGCAGCGCTGCAGTGGATGTGAATATCTGCGAGCAAGCAGGCCAGCACCTGTCGTGCCCTCTATCACCTCAAAGCTTTCAGGCATGTTACATCGCGAACTGGCGTGCGAACACGCACATACACGTGGAGCACACCACATGACGTGGCTCATCCCAGAGCCATGTGGGACCCAAAGAGCCCAATACCCCTTAATTGAGGAATCTACCTTAGTTTATAAAGGGATCCTTGAATACGATGCAAGGTATACTCCTTAATTGAGGGGTATTGGGCTCTTTGGGGGTTTGGTGCACAGTCTGCCGCCACAGTTGTCGTCGCTTCTGAGCCGAGTACACGTCGTCAGTCCGTCTACCATGTGGCCCTGCAGCCAGCAGTGGAGTTTCGCCCAGGACTTCGATGAGAAAGGAAAAACTGTAGGGATGGTTTGCACAGGAATCTGAAGCCATAAGCCCTCCCAAGGGGGTTTTTCAAGGAGGCTTCCCAACGGGACTTCCCAAGACAGCTTTTCCAGGGGCAGAGTTGGGGCCAATTTTTGTTTTGCGATGCAGCATGGGAACAGGAAGGCATCTGCGCTCTGCGACACTGTCCTGAGGGATTAGCTTCGGGCTTTCGGGTCTAGGATTTTCGGTTTAAGGGTTCTTACGTTTGAGGATTTGGGGAATGTGTCCTGCGCTCCGGCCCAGTTGCCCTGACACGACGCACGGCCCTGCCGTGGAGAGCAGCAGGGCCATTAGCTGGTGCAGCACCAGAACTTAACCCTAAGCCCTAAAGCCTAACCCTAAATCCTTCACCCCAAGCATCCTAAACCCTTAGCCCTCAGGTTAAACCGACCTCTCTGAACCATGAAAGGCCATAAACATACCAAACCCACAGCGGCTCTAAATGCCCACAGTTCGCAACAAGTAACTTGTAGTAATTTGTAGGGTGAGGGTTTGGGGTTTGGGGTTTGGGGTTTAGGGTTTAGCGTTTAGGGTTTAGGGTTTAGGGGTGTAACTCGTAGGCACACCACGGGCACGATGCCATGCCGACCTGTGGCGAGTCCATCTTGGCAGCAGCAGCCCTCACGACAGGTGGCCTAAAAGCCCTGAAAACCCTTAAGCCCTAAACGCCCTAGAAAAAACCCTAAAATCCCAAAAAACCCTACAAGACCTAAAAGGCCTAAACGCCATAAACCCTAAAACCCTCAAGCCTAAACACCCTAAACGCCCTAAACCCTGACTTCAATCCTTTAAGCCCTCGGCCATGGATCCAAGCACCTCTTGGTAGTGGGGCTGCATTTACCAGATTCAGGAATGGGGTTTAGGGTTTCGGGTTTAGGGTTTAGGGGTTAGGGGTTAGGGGTTAGGGGTTCGGGGTTAGGGTTAGGGTTAGGGTTTAGGGTTTAGGGTTTAGGGTTGAGGGTCCAGTGTTTAGGGTTTAGGGTTTAGGGTCTCATCCTATGAGGGATGTGAGAGGCTTCTAAGCTTATAAAGCCGACAACCCCAAGACCAACTGACATGGCCAGTAGATCCTAAGCCCTAAACCCTAACCCCTGAACCTTAAACCCTAAAAACTAAACCCTAAACCCCTAAACCCTAAACCCTAAAAGTATCCTTCTTATCAAGGGATTGAGACTCGTACCCCTGAGGATGTACCCTCTGAAGAGGTTCCCTTCTTATACCCCCAAGATGGGCCTTATATTCCCTTGAGGATCTTTAAAAGGGGTCCCCAAAGCCCAATACCACAACCTTAACGGCCCAAGGTACAACCCTTAGATTTAGGTTTAAGGTTTAGGGTTTAGGGTTTAGGGTTTAGGGTTTAGGGTTTAGGGTTTAGGGTTTAGGGTTTAGGGTTTAGGGTTCAGGGTTTAGGGTTTAGGGTTTAGGGTTTAGGGTTTAGGGTTCTTACTATACAGATGTAGCAAACCATTTTCCTTCACGTGGCCTAAACCCCAAAACCGGCAAAAGAGCCACGGTCGAAGGCCCCAAGTCAGCCAGAAGGCCCCCAAAAAGACCTCAAGGCCCTAAGCAACCAAGCCCCAAACCCTAAACCCTAAACCCTAAACCCCAAACCCCAAACCCCAAACCCTAAACCCTAAACCTTAACGGTGCTGCGTGGAGCACTGGGAGCGACCCTCGAAGGCTACCTCCAGCTGGCTCCCACCTCTTGGGGAGTTTTGACTCCGCTGCCGGAATCGCCGCGTTTTGCCAGCATCCGCCTGGCTCGGCGTTCTGCACATCCGTTCCCCTTGCGTACTGGCAGGAGATTTGTGATAACGTGTTCCACGACCTTCGATGGAGGCACACTGCCGTGCGAGCTGATGGCCAAGCTTGAGCAGTCGGGTGCCCAGCAGGTAGCGCCGTCACGAAAGCCAGCAAAGCTCTTTTCTCTTCCGTGTAAGGGAAGAGGTCGTGCCGAACACGCTTTCCCCTTGAACATTCAATTTAATAGCATTTTTCCACAAGGCACCCCAGCAAAACCCTGAAACCCTAATAAACCCCCCGATAAACCCCAAAAGCTCCCCAGTAAACCCCAATGAAACCCTGAAACCCCTAAACCCCTAAACCCCTAAACCCCTAAACTCCTAAACTCCTAAACTCCTAAACCCTAAACTTAACCCTAAACCCCTAAAACCTCAGCCCACAGGCCAGAAGCCTTAACCCCCAAGCCCCCAAAACCCTAAACTTCGAAACCCCCAATCGCGTGCGAGGTTTAGGGTTTAGGGTTTAGGGTTTAGGGTTTAGTCCCGAAGGGCCTTCAAAACACTGAATCCCCTCAAACCGAAAAAAACCCTAACCCCCAAAAAGTTCCCAAAGTCCCCCTAAACCGCCCCAAAACCCTAAACCCCAAACCCCAAACCCCAAACCCCAAACCCCAAACCCTAAACCCTAAACCCTAAACCCTAAACCCTAAACCCTCAACCCTCAACCCTCAACCCTCAACCCTAAACCCAAACCCTAAACCCTAAACCCATAGGCTGGCTCTTGCCCGCCAAACTCTCCCTGCTGGAGCGGCTTCGCCGCTCTTCTTGGCTGAGGCGCCTGGAGGCCCCCTGGCTCCAGGGTGGGCTTGAAGGAATTTAGGGTTTAGGCCTAGGGTTTAGGGTTTAGAGTTTTGGGTTTGGGATTTTGGTAGGTATGGTGTAGGGTTAAGGGTTTCGTGTTTTTTATTGGGTTGACTTCGAGTTTAGGAGGTTAGGGTTGGACTGAGGTTGCTTAGGCATTGTTCCGGTTTTTTGGTTTCTTTGGCGCTTTACGGTTTGGGTTCTAGGTACTTCTCGCGCAGACTTTGAGTTTTGGGGTTCAGGTTTCCTTAGGGTTTAGGGTTTCGGGTTAGTTTAGGGTTTAGGGTTTAGGGTAGAGGCTGCTCCAGAAACGTGGAAGGACCCTGCACGAAGCCGAGCAGGTACGAGAACGCTGTGCAATGCAAGCCAAGGCACAAGTACCTTGTCGTCCTTGAAGTTCTGAGCCCCTCGTGAGCCATCTCACTTTAAGCTCCTTGAATCCCAGACTCCCGTACCCGAGACCGTAAACCCTAAAACCTTGAAGCCTAAAACCTAAGCCAAGAAGTTACCGTCATGAGCTCCCCTACTACTCCCGCTAGGTTCGCCTCAGAATTAAAGCTATTTCGGGAAAATTAATCCTACTTAAGGTTCTTTCAGGGGGCAACCTAGGGGGGGTAGTATAGGGGGGGGTGGGGGTTCTTTGGGAAGCCCATGATACTGGTTCTCAAAGTAGCACTCATGGGGACTGCACGAACCTGTTCATTCCCGGAGCCCCCTGCAAGTCTCCGGCCCCACCCTTCAACTTGAAGCGTTTAAGACTTATAGGTTGGGATGTCCTCCCTTGTACTAACAGTCCTTTTTGGATTCTAGTGCCCACTATTATAATTCTTATGAAGGACTGTTAGTACAAGGGGAACATCCCAACTTATAGGGATGAGGGGGATTCAGGGTTTAGGGTTTCGAGCTTCGGGCTTCTTACTGCTCTCCCAAAAGCGGACTTCCTGTTCTCGAGGCCGAGTTGTGGGGAGAGGCGCCAGAGGAGGCTCGATGGATGGGGTATCTTGTCCCTTCTTGCCTTCTTCCCGAAACCCTTGAATCCTACGCTTTACAGGGTTCCAACCTGGTCTCTAGTCGCTATGAAACGCCATGGGCAGTTCTAAGGGGCGCCGTATTGTATGGGGGGACCCCAAAGGGAGTTTATGAAATTGGGGGGTACTCCTTATCATAAGGGAATCCTACTAATTATCTGGGGGGAGGGGGGGGGCCTCTATGATACGGGTCACATATTTTCGCACACTCGCTTAGAAAGGGCCAACATGCGTTAGAGCCGACCCCACGGGTGCTCGGTTGTTGGTGAGGCCGTCTGCGATGGGATGGCGGTGCGTGCCTTGGACGCAGGCGTGCACACCCCAAACCCTAGGGTTTAGGCTTTAGGGTTTAAGGTTTAGGGTTTAAGGTTTAGGGTTTAGGGTTTAGGCTTTAAGGTTTAGGGTTTAGGGTTTAGGGGGCAGGGTTTAGGGTTCAGGGTTCAGTTCAAGTTTTAGGGTTTAGGTGCCTCAAAAATGTACCTTTTGCCGCAAAGCCTAAGCTGAACAGCGCTGCTGAGGCTACCGACTCTTTGGTCCCCACACGGCGGGTCCCGTCCTCCTGGCCTTCCAGAAGTCAGGCACAGAGGGGGGGGGGGGGGGGGGGCGGGGCCTTTCAAAATTTAAGGGTCTAGGGTTTAGGGCTTTAGGGCGGGGGGGGGGGGAGGGGGGCCTTTCAGGGTTCTTGGGTTTAGGGTTGCCGGGCTTGGGTGCATGGTGCAAGAGTTAACGCCTCAGCTTATAGACGTTTAAGCCTTGGTCTCGTATGAGTCCCGGCCAGGGCGATGGTAGTTGGAACTTTGGCATCTGGGTGGCAGGGTTGCGGGGGTTGGGAAGAGGCTGTCAGCTCAACGGCACGTCTTGGGATTGTGAAGTGTCTTTAAACCCTAAACCCTAAACCCTAAACCCTAAACCCTAAACCCTAAACCCTAAACCCTAAACCCAACCCCAGAAACTGAGCCACACGGGGCACACAGAGGCCCCGAGAGGGAGCGGGGTGTGCCCTACATGGCACACTCGGGGCTTCACCAGCACTACTAGCAATCTTATGGGTTCGCTAGGCAGAAAAATTATCTACGGGGGCATTTAGGGTTTAGGATTTAGGGTCTAGGGTCAAGGGCTTAGGGTTGGGGATGTTCTTCCTTATACTAACAGTCCTTCATAGGGATTACAGTACCCCCAGTTAGAATCCCTATGAAGGACTGTTAGTATAAGGGGAACAACCCAACTTAGAACCCCAAATTTCTAGGTCTACTGACAGCCTGCTTAGGGGAGCTTCTACGTGCAGTTGGAATTGGGGATATTTAGGAGGCCACTAGGAAGTTGCGATCATGGAGCACGGTTTGGGGTGGTTTAGGGTTTAGGGTTTAAAGTTTAAGGTTCAGGGTTTAGGGTTTAGGGTTAGAATCTCCCCAGCAGCGAAACCATGGATCACCAAATGCCAGGACCTTCCTCCCAATCGGACCCTGTCCTGTAACGCCCGCTCTGCGTCTCTCTACGCCGCATGCCCAAATCCCTCAGCCCTGAACCCTGAACCCCTAAACCCTAAACCCTAAACCCTAAACCGCAGGCGTTCCTTGCGAAGCCCTGGCGCGGCGCTTCCCGGAAACTGGGCTGAGGGTGCTGGAAGTCGAAGGCCTGGAAGTTTAAGGGCTTAGGGTTTAGGGCTTGGGTCTAGAGTGTAGCGTAGGGTTTAGGGTTTAGGGTTTAGGACTATTACAGGGGTGAGGTGTGCCTTTTGGGGTCTTGGGTCTGTAGGATATAAGGTCTAGGGTTCGTGCCCAGGGTGTGGGATGCAGAAGCATGTGCAGAATTCTCGTGGCTTCTCAGGTTTCCGCAAAACGCAGCCTCGGCGGAGCCGTGGTTTTTGTGAGGTCAGGGTTTAGGTTTTGGGGTTTAGGCTTTAGGGTTTAGGCTTTAGGCTTTAGGCTTTAGGCTTTAAGCTTTAGGGTTTAGGGTTTAGGCTTTAGGGTTTAGGGTTTAGGAGTGGGGCTGACATTCATGGAAGGCTTTGCTTGGTTTGGGATCGTGGGCTCCCAAGAAGGCAGATCTTGGCGTGTTTGGTTGATTGACTTTGGGGACCAAATTAACACTGTATTTGTAATCATATATTATCTCTTTAAGTAGGGTTTCTGTTTTGTAGGGGGTTCTGATGAGGGTATCTAGGGGGTAGATTAAGGTATAAGGGCAACAGATAAAAGAGGCCAGCGGCCTTTATAACCTACACAACTATAATCCCTATTTAGGCATATGGAACATAAAACCCTTTGAGGGTTCATTTAGTCCCCAAGGCAAGTGTCGGTTGACCGGGGCTTTGGGTTGAGGGCTGAGTAGTGGCCATGATTCTGGGCTTTAGGTTTGGAGGAGCTCAGGGCTTTTGGACGCAGGGCTAAACCCCAAAATAAGTCAAAGGGGGTTCAAGGGGGGTATGTAGGCTTTGCTCAGGTTCCCCAGGCCCTACGTATCTACGCCCCTTGCACCCCCTACCCTAAAAGCTAAACCCTGAAACCCCTGAACAGGTGGCGTGGCGGAAGCCCAGTCACTGCTGAAGCACCTCCAACTCAGGCAGCCAAAGAACTTCGGGTGTTGAATTTAGGGTTTAGGGTTTAGGGTTTAGGGTTTAGGGTTTAGGGTTTAGGGTTTAGGGTTTAGGGTTTAGGGTTTAGGGTCTGGGTCGAGGGTTTAGGGTTTAGGGTTTAGGGCTTGGGGCTTGGGGCTTAGGGTCTAGGGTTTAGGGTTTAGGGTTTTTTGGGGTTTAGGGTTTAGGGTTTAGAGGAATGTACGGGGCTCTTTCAGGGGGGATGTTCCGATAGCTTGGGCGTACCAAGGGGACCGCAATGTGCTGAAAAAGTCTGAAGGGGGAACGATCAATTCCCCGGATCTTCATAACCCTGTTGATCCGACGCCCTCAGCCCACCCTCAACCCCAGCAAAAGCCTGAGCAAAAACTCCTAAACTCTACACCCTGAATTTCGAAACCAAGTGGTGGATAAACCCTCCCCTATCTGAGCTCCATGAGGCAGCAGCCCTGCATCGACGACCCCAAGCCCCCCCAAAAGTCTACCATGCCATCTCGGGTTCAGGGTTCAGGGGTTATGGTCACAGACGACATCATCTGCCTACATCCCAGCACAGGCTTAGGGTTTAGGGTTTAGGGTTGAGGGTTGAGGGTTGAGGGTTGAGGGTTGAGGGTTGTGGGTTGTGGGTTGAGGGGGAACAGCTCGTTAAGCTGTCCAAACACCGGAGCAAAGCTTCCGCCCACCCTCCCTGAAACTCGGCGCTATGTCTCTAACTCTGAAGCCAATATTCTCTTTAGACCCTCTCAGCCTGAACCCTTAGCCAACCCAAGCTCAAAGTCAAGATCCTAAACTCCCAAGCATCTGAGCCTCTAAACCCTGAACCTAAGGCCCCCCCCCCAACCGCACAAAAGAAAAAAACACCCTGCGCCCTATGTCCTTTTTCGCCCATAGGCTCTGAACCACACCCCCCGAGCTCGAAGTACAAAGCCACACAGCAAGCCCGTGGTCATGGGGTTTACGGCTTAGGCTTCAGAGGACTGAAGGTTTAGGATTCTTCGGGCTCAGGGTTTCAGGGCTTGTAGGGTTTAGGTTTCCCAAACCCTAAACCCTGAATCCTAAACCCTAGACCCTAAACCCGAAACCCTAAACCCTAAGCCCTAAGCCCTGAGCCCTAAGCCCTAAACCCTAAACCCTTCCAGAGGCCCCTAGCGCTGGCGGCTGGCAGCGTCTCCGCGCTCAGTGACGCCGAAGCTCTTGGCATGGCGTCCCTGGCCAAGGATCGTGCGTTTTGGGGGTTTAGGGTTTAGGGTTTAGGGTTTCGGGTTTCGGGTTTCGGGTTTAGGGTTCAGGGTTTAGGGTTTAGGGTTTAGGGTTTAGGGGTGCCGGGTTTGGGGTTTTAGGAGTCAAAAGGGTTTAGGGGATTTAGCGGCCTAGCGGCCTCTAGGGGTTCAGGGTCTAGGGGTTGGAGGTGTTGGATTTGGGTCGAGGGCCTGACCGCACATCGTAGTACCCTTTGGAATTGCGCTTTAGAAATCACGTTTGTTTAACCGATGTGTTATATGTATTATAGGGTCTTACTCATTGTGGTACATTCCCCCCTTCTTTGGATTACCCCTGCCATGTCTCATATTCCCCTTCTTTGGGTTGCACACAGGGATCATATGTAGGATTCCGTTTTTTTAAGAGTGTCAAGTATCTACAGGCGGGACCCTTCCAAGGGACCTTAGGGGTTATTTAGGGAATGTAGGGCCAACTTAGGCAAATAGGGACTATGGAAGGTTCAGAAGGTATATTATTATGTAGGGGTGATATAGGGGAATAAGATTCAGCATCCTTTCTAGGAGTCCCTCCTTGTACCCGTTAAGAGTGGTCAAGCCAGTGAGTCTGTGCAGCACCCATGAAGCCCTGAAGCCCTTCAAGCGAACCCCTGTCCCTGTAAAGATGAGGGTGTAGGGTTTAGGGTTTAGGGTTTAGGGTTTAGGGTTTAGGGTTCAGGGTTTAGGGTTTAGGGTTTAGGGTTTAGGGGTTATGGCCCAACCGAAGCCTAAAGAAGCCCACGGCCCTTCCAATTGTCGAGGCTCCAAGCCTCGCTAAGGGTGTTCGGATTGCCCCCTGAGCATCCTAAACCCCCCCAAGCTGCTCCGAATCCTGCACCTTGCAGTCTTCAACCCTAAACCCTAAATCCTAAACCCTGAACCCTGAACCCTAAACCCTAAACCCTTACCCTAAACCCTAAACCCGAAACCCTAAACCCTAAACTAAACTTCCGCCCCGCCCCGTAAACTGCCTTCGATCCTGCCCCCTTACAAGCCAGCCCAAGCAAGGCTCTGGGTCGCTGACACATCAGCTTCAGCCTCCCTGGAGGAGCGCGCCCGCTTCTACGCCCTCATGGCAGAAACTTGGCAGCTGGCCTGGGGGGGACCACATGAGCCCTATAATTGGGTCATGTACCATATATAGTCTATAGTACTCTATAGACCCGTATTAAGGTATATGGACCAGAAGACCTTCTTGAGGTTCATTTAGTCCCCAAGGGAGAGGTACCCTTTTGCCCTTGTTTTTTTGAATGCTGGGTTCCGTTATACCATGTAATCAGCACCTTTTATTATGATGGGCAAACCAAGGAAAGGAGCTGACCGGGGGTTTCTCCAACCCCCGGGAAAGAGATGGCGGCCGCCATCTTGAAGACGACTTCCCCCCCCTTTTGGGCGGCTCGGCCCATTTTGGGCTTAAATGCGTTTTAAGGTTTTATGGTTTAGGGTTCAGGGCCTCTCTGTCTATCTCTTCGCTCTACTGTATCAGCTGACGCACAGCATGCCACCTCCTCTTTTCTGGGTGTGGCTCTGAGGACATGGGTTTCAAGAGCGCCAACCCCAAGCCGGAGAGCAAGAAGACCCTTGAGGAGATGGCACGGGCCCCATGGGGCAATGGCTACAACACAGAACTGGGCTGCTTTGAACCGTGTCCTCCCCTTTTTTTCATCATCTTGTGCATGGATACCCCTAAGCCCGACGCCCTAAACCCAACCCGCTCTGCTTAGACCCCCCGTCTCTCAACACTGGAGGATTCTGGGGCTCAAAGTCCAGCTGTTCGACTGCTACAGCTGAGAACTTAAACCCAGAGAAGGAGAGTCAACTTCTGGCGAAGGAGAAGCAAGCAGGACCGACAAGACGTAAAAACGGCGCGCGCGCGCGCGTCCTTCGACCATCGTCTGCTTTCATGGACTGCTCTCTGGAGCAGGAACGTACATGTTTTCTGATCTTTATTACTCTTATTATTATGATTCTTATTATTAAATATTATTTTTATTATTATTATTATTATTTTTATTATTATAAATTCTGAACTTTATTATCACTATAAACTCAATTGAAAGGGGTGCGTCGGTCCCCATGCGTCAGATGCTGTTCGTCAGCTCATGCGCCGCATCCCGGGTGCAAATGGCGCGCCTACTAAGCTCCGCTGCGAAGCTTCCCCTAAGAGTCCATGTACCTAAATAGGGAATACTTGGGCCTTAAAGTACCTCCTATTTAGGGACTTTAAGGCCCAATTACAGAATAATAAGGTACATGGACCCTTAGGGAGGTAAGCGGTGAAGCGACTGGCCTGCAGTCGTTCTCTGAAACGTCCAGTAATTGACATGACGTGTTGTGCTTGCTGGCTTTCTCTCGGGCTCTGGTTAAGTAGTTAGTTAGGACCAGGAGTGTCTGCAGCCACCTGCAGCCATGATCGAAGATGTCATCACCCCGGCCGTGCCCGTGGCTTTTCTCTCAGTGGCAGGGTTGGCTGCAGAGCAACAGGTCGCAGCTGCAGATATCGGACGATTTGGGGCTTCCGCCCGGCTGGAAGCGCTGAAACAGATAATGAGGCGGGCCGCTTCGAACAAGGACACGAGGAGTGGTTTGTTTGAGGCATGTTTCGCGTAGAAGCTCGGAAGATGCATGTGCGTAGATGATTGCACTGTATTCATCTTGTACATACCCAATGTCTACACACACACACACACACACACACGCGCGTAGGCTGCAATCTCTTGAGGTCAGATTTGAAGAAGGCGCTGTGTGCCTGGGGCATTTGGATGTTAACGTCGCTCGAAGTTGCGTCATGCTCTGCCTACGTCATGTTCCTTGGGGACGAAATGAACCCTAAAATTAAAAGGGTTTAATCGGTTTAATGGTTCAGAAGCCTTACTAGCAACTAGAGTAGTATAGGAAATATGACCCCAAAAATTAAGGTTCATTTTGGTCCCCAAGGTTTTGCACGTTTACGGACAACACCCTGCTCCTGGTTATGGCGGCTCTTCTCTTCTTCACTGCATCTTGGTAGGCCCGTGGTACCCTTTACACTTTTTTTTGGGCTCTGGGTTCTCTTGTAAAGTAACTAGCCAAAAAAGGGCACCCTTATTATGGGATGTTTGCTGGGCTACCAAGGCATTCATGCATGGAGGCTTCCGTCTTCGGCCCTACCTGCGAAGTCCCATGATGTTCCTGCTCTTTCCCGATGGCTACTCCAGATATGGGCTCCTCGAACGGCAGAAGCCTGTGAAATGCTTCTATGCACTCACAACCATTTTCAAGTTCCTGTGCTGCTTCGTGCTGTTCTACACCTTTGCGCTTGTCACCTCCTCGGACTTCCATCTTTCCAAGTGCGGCAGGGGCACCGTAGACGACACGTGTGAAGAGGCACCACCGTTTCTCAAGGCTAGCTGTCAAGACAAGGAGTTTCACGGCTTTGATGAGTGCATGCGAGCTGCACCTTGGTGGCTTGCGAATGCCTGCGTCGTCAGCGCCAGTACCTGCCCCCTGTTCCGTGCAGACGACTCGTTGCTGCAAGCTGCCAGCAACACGCTGGGATCGGGCGCAACCCTTGCCTACTACACCCTGGCAGTGATCCCTATGGTGGCGCCGCCTCTCTCCTTGGTGCTGTGGCTTGCATCAGGCCACTTAATGTCTTGCATGCTGCGCTGGGCAGAGCCGGAGTGTGGATGGCCGGAGTTGGTGGCGGAACGTACCGCTCTGGTAATGCAGGAGATGATCCCCCATGTACTATAACCATAATGGGGGGTATTTAATGTTAGGGGGTTCAGGGTTTAGGGTTTAGGGTTTAGGGGGAGGGGAGTAATGCAGGAGATGATCTCAGGGGTGTTCTCGCCGAGCTGGTGGGCACTGGGATCCATCTACGCTGAAATCACCCTGCTCGTCCTTGATGTGGGAGTTTCCGAAAATAAGGAGGGTTTAGGGTTTAGGGGTTTAGGGGTTTAGGGGTTTAGGCTTTAGGGTTTTGGGTTTAGGGACCCCTATATTAGACCCCCCAAACAGCAGGACTCCCTGAAAGTAAGGACCCCAAGAATGGTACCCCCCAGTGTCGTCATCCCCCAGGTCGCTTCTGATATTAATTGCATCTTCATGTTTTTCTTCGTTGAGAACCATCCAGCTGCCGGAATTATCCAAACCAGCATACTGATTATGCCGATCCTGTTGGAGTTCATTCATAGTCGCAGCTTCCAGCCCCTTGTCATCTGGCGCCACTTCAGCAAGTCGCGGAAGCTTGGCTATCGCACCGCGGGTTTCATCCGCACCGTGCAAAATGAGAAGGCTGGGCCCAACGGTGTTTAGGGTTTAGGGTTTAGGGTCCAGGGTTTAGGGTTTAGGGTTTAGGGTTTAGGGTTCCCATCTTGTCGACTCTTGCGCCCCGGCCTTCGGTGACACATGTACTCACCAAGTACAGGGGATCAGCATCCAGCACGAGTACCAGGATGCCCAGTAGTACCCTTATTCCCTTTTTGGGGGGTTTAGGTTCCCTTATAAGCCCCTTTAAGCAAAAAAGGGCACCCTTTTTAAGCCTTGGTTACTGGGCAGCCTAGTAACATTCCACGTGACATCCTTAGAAATTTGACCGCCGCCAGTCATCTCGGGATTTGGCTTTGGTTCCTTAAAGGCTGTACTCCTTAAACCCTGAACCCTAAACCCTAAACCCTAAACCCTAAACCCTAAACCCTAAACCCTAAACCCCAACACCCCAAACCCTAAACCCTAAACCCTAAACCCTAAACCCAACACCCTAAACCCATCAGAGCTTCGCAGTCCCTGCAGGGCCTAGAAGCTCCACTGTCCTGTGGCTTCCAGTTGGCCATCCTCTACAGGAACAAGAGCCTCCGCAGTTCAGAAGATTGTTCAGTGGCAATAAACCCTAAACCCTAAACCCTAAACCCTAAACCCTAAACCCTAAACCGTTATGAAAGTTGTGAGAAGAAGATGCGGAGCCCTCCCCATGACCAGCTAGGAGGAACACTTGCAGGGGTACTACCTAGGAAGGCTTTTGGGATATTTGCTGGGGCGAACACTGGTGGGCACTCCAGGGATACTCATGGGGATTCTCTGCCATCATCCGCACCGAGGGCAGGGAATACATACAGCAGTAGTTGCAGCAGTCGGGCCCCTCCCCTCCCCTCCCCTCCCCCCCCCCCCCGCCCTAAACCCTAAACCCTAAACCCTAAACCCTAAGCTTTAAACACCTACGCTCTCAGCCCCAGACTAAGGAGCCCAAAGGCATTTCTGAGTGCTTGGGTGTCCATCCTACTCAGTGGCATCGGGACAGCCAAGTTTGCTCCTCGCAGAGGTTTAGGGTTAAGGGTTTAGGGTTTAGGGTTTAGGGTTTAGGTTCCCGTCATTCCCATCAACTGTACGTCCCCGACACAAAATTGGGGTGGGGGGGGTGGGGGGGGTGGGCGGGGGGGGGGGGTTTGTGGGGGTGGGGGTGGGGGTGGGGGTGGGGTGGGTTGGGGGTGGGGTGGGGTTGGGGGGTGTGGGGGGGTGGGGGGGGGGGGGGGGGGGGGGGGGGTGGGGGGGTGGGTTCAGCCTAAGACTGGTTTGTGGGGGACCACATGAACCCTAAAAGTGTGTATTGTCCATATAAATTAGGGCGCATTTCGTCCCCAAGGTTTACACCAACTTGCACCTTGGCATGATCGATGTGATTCAGCCGGCGAAGGACCCGTCACTGGACACTGATGAAGTCCAGCACACAGGCCCGTCACCAACCAGTACCTTGGGGAATGAACCTTAAAATTTGGGGGGTCATAGACCCTGTACTACTATAATCCTTGTTAAGGTATATGAACCATAAAGGTATTGGTGTTCGACCGCGTGACACCGAGTGATTGGCGTGGAGGGGGCTCTTTCAGGCACCGGCGGTGCCGTCATGCAAGACAGCGAGCAGCGGTGTTGCCGCCACTTCGCAGCAATAGCTATGCGGATGCTTGGCAGGACCATCTGGCGTGCCGTGCAGGCTGCCAAGTTTGTGCTAGCATCTTGGTCCAAGTCCCCCCCCCCCCCCCCGCGTCCGAGACGCCACGGTGAGTTCTAAATCTGATCCAGAGTTTGCACATTCTCCTTGGTGCAAAGCAGTTTTGGTGCTCTGCAAGTTCCTAAGGAATCCAGAGCACGTTTTGCAGGGACATAGACCGAGTCAATTTGCTCAAAAGAAGGGGCTTGCAAGTGGGACCCGGCAGACTTGACAGGGTTAAAGTCGAGGCTTGGGATGTCCCCCTTATACTAACAGTCTTTGGTAGGGATTGTAAAATAGGGGGCACTATAATCCCCTACTCAGGACTGTTAGTACAAGGGTGAACACCTAAACCCTAAACCCTAAACCCTAAACCCTAAACCCGTAGTACCCCCAATTATAGAATCCCTTTTTTAAGGACTGTTTGATTAGGGGGCGAACATCCCAAGTCGAGGCCATGAAGGCGATGAAGGTCACTGAAGGCCATGAGCCACGGAGCTGATACCCCAGCACTTGGAGGTTCTTATTCATCGCTCAGGGTTTCGGGTTCAGGGTTTAGGGTTAAGGGTGCTTACTGACCCTTTAAAGCTGTACTTATAACCCATGTACAAGCCCCTTAAGTGCCTTAATTGGTTGATAAACACCATGAACCTCCAAGTAGACTTGCAATGCCGTTTCGACCATCCTCGGCCCTGCTCTCATTTTGCGGTCAGTGACCCTGAAAAGGCTTGAGGCCCTATTTAGGGTTTAGGGTCTGGGGTTTAGGGTTTGGGGTTAAGGGTTTAGGGCTACTGGGACCAGAAGTTGGCCCTTATGCCATTTTTTTCTCGGGGTTAGGTTCCTTTATAAGCCCCCTTTAATCCTAAACCCCAAAACCCCAAACCCCTAAACCCTAAACCCTAAACCCTAAACCCTAAACCCTAAACCCAAAACCCAAATCCTAAACCCTAAACCCTAAACCCTCAAGAGCCTCTAGTATCTCAGAAGCGGATAGAGGAATAGTTAGCTATACCATCCATCATCCTTCAGGGTGTCATTTTGTTTATCCAGTGTTCTTTCTATCTGACTGTCAATATAAACACCTACGCATGACTCTGTAAAATATTATGAGTGTGCGTTTACACACAAATATGTCTATACTTATTTATTTGAATAGATAGATAGGCAGACACACACGAATACAACACAACGCAACGCAACACAACACACAACACACGACACACGACACACGACACACGACACACGACACACGACACACGACACTCGACACACGACACACGACACACCACACACCACACACCACACACCACACACCACACACCACACACCACACACCACACACCACACACGACACACGACACACCACACACGACACACGACACACGACACACGACACCCGACACGCGACACGCAACACGCAACACCCAACACGCAACACACAACACAAAACACACAACACACAACACACACACACACACACACACCCACCCACCCACGCACCCACCCACGCACACACACCCCAACCCACCCACCCACCCACCCACACACACACACACACACACACACACACACACACACACACACACACTCTCACGCCGCACCACTCCCTGAACATGTTTTGGTGTGTATTCCTCTCAGCTCTCGAGGTGGCTACATACAAGCGCTTCTGCGACACCGACCCATTCATCTGCTGGAGGCACCCTCTGTGTTAGCCGTGGCGCTGAGAGGGGAGGGCGTCCCTCTGAATTGGGAGAGCAACTCCAAAACACAGGGGGTGTGGTTTAGGGTTTAGGGTTTAGGGTTTGGGGTTTGGGGTTTAGGGTTTAGGGTTTAGGGTTTAGTGTTGAGGGTTTCGGGTTTAGGGTTTAGGGTTTAGGGTTTAGGGTTAGGGTTTAGGGTTTAGGGCTTAGGGTTTAGGGTTTAGGGTTTAGGGTTTGGTTATTCAGCTTTGGAGCACATTCACCCTAAACATAAAGAAAATCCTGAACTCCCTACCCGAAATCCGACAGCCCACACCCTCGGATCGATCGTCGCCTTCTCTCCCTCCATCGAACAGATCGCACAGCGAGGACTTCACCCTAAACTGAAAATCCCACTAAAGCAAAATCAGGGAAAAGGCGCCGGTGGGTGGGCAGGAGTCCGGGCAGGGCGCATGTCTTTGCTGTAGATGAGGTTGAGGGTGTTCAGGGTTGGGGTTGAGGGTTTAATACCCTCAACCCTTGACTGTAGGCAAAGGGAGCCTTGCCAAGAACGGTTCGGACTGCGTTGTTGGAAATCATGCATCGTTGAAAAGGGTTTGATTGCGTCCGGTCTCGTGCGGGGTCTACGTTCCCAATACCAGGACATCTCCAAGCCTGAAACCGCACCCCTTAGTCCTCTGTTTTGACAGCGAACAGCTTGCCTGTGTTGTAAGTATGGTAGCTATACTTATACCCTTATTTAGGGTACTTAGAATACTTATACCCTAAACAAGGGTACTTAGAACTCCTACATATGGCTGGCTACTCATGAGCCCCCAAGTACCCAAAGAGCCCAGTACCCCTGAAATAAGGAATATACTTTAAATCATACTAAGCATCCCTTTGTAAAAATGAGACAATATCCTTGTTTAAGGAGTATTGGGTTCTTTGGGTGGGGTGCAGGGTTCGTTTCCTCTTGGGCTTGAGGACATTCAGGGAAAAACTTCGCAGGTGACGAGCGCCTGCGGCATCCATCGAACCAGGTTTGCGCAGCGTCTTCGGTCAAAAAATGCTGTTCTGGTGCCAGGATCGGTATGGAGTTCAAGGTTCAGGGTTAGCATGTGGACTTGTATGGTAGTGAGGCACGTTGTCCCTCCCCTCCAGTGGCCATGAGGTCAGGTGAGTTCACGGGTGACTCCGAGACGATTTTCTCATGCCGGTTCATGTCATCATGAAGCATATGGTGCGACTCTCCAAGATCCAACTTTTTCTTTCCCGGAATCAACACAACAACCTCCGGGGGTCAACAACAACAGCACCCTGAGCAAGTTCGATGTATTGAGACGCAATCCCAACAACACCTTTGGCCATGGCGCATTCCGGGCGCCGGCGCCAGACCATGCTGATGTTGATTGCAGCCCTGGCTGCCTGGTGACCCGCCACCATTGATCATGTCTGGGGGATGGCACGAATTCTTGGGGAATTGCAAGCAACATTTGCTCGCACAGTAGCTGCTGCCAGTAGCCGCGACGCAAAAGCAGTTTCTAGATTTAAGCAGACATGCAGTTCACGATTCGTATGTAGTATGCAGCCATATCACCAACATGGCTGTGCATGCTTTGTGGTACTTTACTGTAACTTTAGATCCTTAC